AATTTAAAAATTATATGGGATATGATGCATCAAGAACGCTACCTAAATTTAGGGTATGATCTGCGCCTATCAAAAAGCTACCACAGATCTATCAAAAACGATACTTTTGCCGCCCTGGCGGATTCCTTTCCCACACATAAGAGTCGTAACCAACCGCTCTCGATGTTACACCCTTTAAATAACTTTTTGGAAGTATGATTAAAAGAGACTTTGGCATCCCTTCTCAATGCTTTCACTTGAGGCTTCGCTTAGAATTTAAACACACTGTTCACGCGAATCTTTCATTGAGAATGTTTTACCTTTGCGTTTGTTTACTTGGCCGATATTATCAATTCGGCCGACAAGCCTTATGTGTCATGACCGAACTCAAAATATCGACATTTGTGGCATCTTAATTATTTACTCACGGAATTTATGGCGCAGTTTTATCTTTATTTTTCGAGAATGTTACTTTTTGTCCGTAACAATGTTTTGTATAGTAATTTATTGTACTAAAGTTTTCTTGGCGATTCTTGTCTATGCTCTTTCCGAAACAACTATTTATAAAATAATCATTTGAGATAAATAAAAATAAAATTGCTTTGCTCATGATCACGAATCTGAAGAACTTTTTGAAATAAAAAAATAAAGTCCCTGCGAAACCTTTGACATGTCATAACCAGTTATCAACTGATTATGAAATAATTATACTGATTGCACTTATACGGGTTATCCGATTATACCAGGTTATCCAAACTTTTTATAAACTTTTGGGCGAACAAAAAAAGACAAATGACTCATTATAATCACTTGATTCTATAAAAAGTACAGATTTACAGTAGTAACATCAACGCAAAAATTTATATTGTTTTACCAATCATCAGTCTACCAAGTTTGGTTTGGTCCGACAAATGAAATTAAGCACTCTTCCTTTCACGGGAAGGTTAGTTTTATGAACATAAAGGTATATTGTATAATTAAATGACACATACAATATTAAATTTCACGAGGGACAAGTATGATCGTTGTTTTACAGTAAATGCCATCGTTTGTCCAGGAGCGGTGAATTTTTTTATGATTTCAATTAATAAAAATTACTTATACCACTATTTTTTTTTTATAAACAAATATACATTTTTGAAATCAATGTCAATTTACTTGATTCTGTATGCTTCAATTTCATCTCGAATTAAACGGGATAACTAAACAATGAATTTGAATGTTTAATTTTATGATAAAAGTGTGCATGCATATTGCCCAATCTTAACGATCGTATGCGCGTTAAGCATGGCATTAAAAACATGTCAGGAAAGGGAACTGTTTAATTATATTCTTTTTTCAAATAATTGAATAAAAATGTTTCGCTTTTGTTATAAAAAATATATCTAAAAAGAAATTTGTGATGCACGTAATATACCTTGTTGCCAAATAAGGCAAAGAAGAATTCAAATAATGTTTGCGTTGTCTCAAGTTAAAATAAATGCACGTACCTACGCACTAAAAAACTGCCTAATTACGTCTTTCATATACTGAACTTATTCGATTTATTCTTTTATATACCTTAACATTATACTAGTAGTCTTGTTTCAATTCTATTCTTAGAAATTTTTAATCAGTTATATAATAAACAAGTTAATCTAACAATAGTTTCAGGAATGCATAACATAAATTTTCAATTATACATTACTAGCCTATAGATTATTCATCAAAGAAAAAATATATATATATAAAGACAATAACCACATACGATTTCTTTTTATCTTTCCGATATTTTTTTTTAATTTTATTTTATTTTAATTTTTTTTTCGTCCATTCTAACTACAGTCGCAATGAATAATAACATTATTGCTGTAGATATCATTCCGGATAATGATGGTAAATTAATAATGTACGGTGAACCAAATAAAGATAAAACTCACTTAGTTTCTGGTAAACTTCGTGTAATAGTCTCAAAACCATTGAAAATAAAATCTATAACCATCAAATTAAGAGGAAAAACAGAGTATTCGGATTGGGAAAATCAATATTCTTGCTTAAATGTACTTAAACTTGAGCAAATACTTTATGAAAAGAACGTTTTACAAAAAGGTGTAACAGATTTTAACTTTGAACTTAGAGTACCTGGAAATACACCTCAAAGTTATGTTACTAGTTTTGGTTTGATCAGATACAAGCTGATGGCTGCAGTTCAACCTTCTTCAATGCTTACAAAATGTGAAAGAGTCGAACGAGGTATTTATTTTTATAGACATTATTTGCCATGTAGGAGAGAACTCCTGCCCGCACCACCTACAAAAATTTATAGAGGTCAGAGAAGGAATATTTTAAAATACGAGCTAGATATTCCTACTGTCATAAGTGTTAACGAAAGAAGTCTGTTGATCAGAGTCAGATTATTACCGTGTAGCGAACAGGGCTATGTCAAGAGAATTACTTTCGATCTAGTTCAATCTGAAAAATACAGGTAATAATCAATAATTTTAATCGTTAACTAACCTTTTATAGAATTACCCAATCTAACCTTATTTATTTCATAGAGTCCAGCCAAGTCAACAAGATATAATATATTATGATATTGATAGCACCCAATTTGTTGGCAATGTTCAATTGAACGGATCTGTACCGTCAAAACGTAAACGATCTAGTCAAATAAAACCAACGGCTCTAGCTATTTTCAGTAATGATGACAATTGGAATAATCCATTGACTTATAATCTTCCTTTCGTTCAATATTCTCGTACCGCAACATCTGGTAGAGCTCGTGCATCTAAGTTAAAATCGACGATTGATTCTCCACTAATTCGTGTTAGGCATAAACTTAGACTTTCAATGACTTTTAGAGACGAAAATGAAAAGGATTTAGAATTAGGTTTTCCAATTACTATCACAACCATTCCGGAAGATGATTACTCTTCGATGTTCGGTATGCTTTGTGATAATGGTCTGCCTTCTTACGATGATTGTATAGAAGATTCTCCTACAATGGGTTATGAAGAATCCGGTGATTCTAGACCCATTAGCCCTTTATGTGAATTAAATAATTCGGATAACAACTCGAGATATCACTCTAGAAATAATTCTAGAAGCAATTCTAGGAATCATTCTAGAAGTAATTCAAGGAATCGTTCCAGAAGTAACTCTAGAAATCCCTCTAGAAATAATGCCAGGTCTGCATCTCCAAATCTTGATGATATAAACAATGATGGTTTTACAGATAATTCCTCAAGCGGAGGAAATGGAACTTCGAATGGCTCAATATTGTCAGATCCACGTCAACCAATCCTAAAAAATAAAAAGAGTCAACGTTCTTTGGTAGACCGTCTTTTACATAGAAATGAAAATAATTCAAGAACAGCTTCACCACCTATGAGTATTCCTATCGCTTATACTACACCGACATCACATCCGAGTTATAGTAATTTAAATACTTCTCCGCAAGATCATAACCGTGTGTTACCAATAACTTCTCATGACCTTCCTTCTTATTCACAAATGCCTCCTGACTCTAATACCAGCTATTTATCCAAAAGAAGCAAACGTACAACTTTGTATTTAAATATGCCTGATGAAGACGATTACGAGACAAACACGCATTTAGAGATTCACAGTGCACCTAGCAGCCCTAAACTTTGCGGAACTTCAATGACATTAGGTGATGACGCTTCTAATGAATTATCTTTTAACAGTAGTGATGCTTTTACCGGAGAAAATAGTAATAACTTATCACCACCAAATATGAAGAAAAAATCGCATAGAAGGTCCGCAAGTTTTGATTTGAATCTAAAAAGTCCTGGTATTACAAATTCTAGATTCCTTAATAATACACTAAGGGTTAGTGGTGATAAAACATCGTATGATGATTTATTGGGACGTGGCATTAGTGGAATAAACATTAATATTCAAACACCAAGTCCTACCTTTGGAACTATATACAAATAGAGTTTAAGCAACATTTATTGCGCCTTTAAAATAATGTTCCTTTTTTTTTTTATCTGTATTTAGAAATTTTAATATGACATTCGAGTTGGATAATATTAGTTGAATAACAATAATTAGATGGCAGTAGTTGAATTAATTTTGGAAACATTATAAATACTATGTGAGGTTGATAAACTTTGAATTGTTTGCATTTTAGATCAGTTGTTTAATCTAATAGATTTATGATTACTTTATTAAACCTAAGAAATAACAAGTACCTATATAAACTATTGAATTAATATTAGTCATTAGTTTGAAATATTTAAAGAAGAAAAAGTACTTTATTCAAATAATACTTTAATATCATCTCACTCAAATCACTTTATTAATCACTTGATTAAAGAAAGTTTGAACAAATTTTGGTATCTATTATGCTATGCATTCGTAGAATTTAGAGAAATTTAATGTTGATGCAAAACGCGAATAATTAGCTTAGTAAAAAAAAAATAACATTAATGAATCCGAATCGATCAGATACAATAAGAATTTTGTACATAATTGTTAACGTTAACTCTTAGATTTCAAAGTCACTACATTTGTCGTCAGGTGAGATTAGGATAAACCTTATAATGAATTTAATATTTATTAATAACACTTGAAAAAAAGGCATTGTGTCCTCAATACTTCGTATTTGATTCTTGTTATTGGGTCTGCAACATCAGTTACTTTTTCCCAACAGTTTCAATGAATGTATTGTACGTACGTTAATTGAGTTCATTTAAAGTTATTTGAAATTTATAAAGTTTATTAAACTGCTGGCTAAAGGTGAAAATTAGGAACTTCGATTTAAAAGTATAAACCCAAGTCAACGTGATATGGTAGCACGAAGGTTACACCAACATGGTATATGTTACAATTAAAATAATTTATACGAAGTAATCTAAACGTTACGCACCATGAGCATGGTTAAAAATCCTATGATTGGCTAAATGATAAGAAATAGAAACAATATAAACAATATAAAAAGTCATCCAAT